GAGAGGGAGAACTAGACTATAAGAGGTTGCGAGGCCACAAATGTGGACACGCGCTTCCAGGAGCTTTGTTTTATAGTCTCTGAATCTTGGCCATTGATGAGATTACATGGCTCTGGGGGTAGTTTGTGGGTGTGACTGCCAGGCTACTGGAAAATGGGGGATCTGGGTGGAGGAGGCCCAGTCCCAATCCGAGCAGGCTTGGAGATCTCAGCTCTGGGTCCCGCACACCTGGATTCCTCTGCCAGTTCCTTCATGCGTGAGGCTCCTCCAAGCATGTGGAGAGTGGCCTTGTGCATGTCTGTGGCTGGGTTCCATAGGTCTTTGGCTGCCAAGACTCTGCTCAGGGCAGGGAGGGAAACTGAACCCGCCCCCCTCTAAGGGGTCCTGGTGAAAATAGCCAGGGGCGGGAGGTCAGGATAATGGAAATAGGATAGCGAAATAGCAGATTTTAACTATACCATGGTGGAGATTTCTGGCTGCTTGGAAATAAAGACTTCAAGACAATTTATCTATACCTATGGGGAATGCTTTGAAAGAGAAAATACCATGAAAGCAAATAACAAGTCTGATTGCAAATTTTCACTGTAAGTTGAAAAATGTTTTAAAATTTCTCCTGAAAATGTCAGAGAAAATTCTTGGTTAGAAGAAAGAGCAGATCCACAGAAAATTAGAACTTAAAGAAAAAAATTAAGACAAAATTGTTCTTTTTTCAAATATATTAATTCCCCCTCATCTTTTTTTTTGGTGCTAGGAATAAAACCTAGGGCTTCACCCATACAAGATATACAGTCTACCATTGAGTTACGCTTATAGCCTTTTACTTGTAGGTTTTAAGAAAGATGTGTTTTAATACTTGAAAACCTAAAGGAACAGAATTGGGAAATCAGGATGGAAACTGACAGGGAAATTGATCTAGTCCTAGTCATAATCATTTTCTTAAGCAATTACCATATAATATCTTCTCAGAAAGATAGAATAACACATGAATAAAGAAACTTATAATAGTGAGACAAGATAATGGATTAAAAGATAGAGGGTGACTAAGTTGCATTATTTTATTTTATTTATTTGTTTTTTCTTTTTGGGTCACACCGGGCGATGCTCAGGGGTTACTCTTGGCTCATGCACTCAGGAATTTCTCCTGGTGGTGCTCAGGAAACCATATGGGATGCTGGGAATCAAACCCGGGTTGGTTGCCTGCAAAGCGAATGCCCTACCCACTGTGCTATCACTCCAGCCCCAACGTTGCATTATTTTATTTTTTTAATTTAATTTTTTTTTAGATTTTTATTAGTGAAACACCATGAAAGTTGCATTATTTTAATTGGCAACAGTGCATGAGATTTAGATGAAATGATCAAGGAATGACTTATACAAAGGAGGTTGAATTTCTTTTCTTTCTTGCCAATGCTTCAATTTGTTCATATATCACTTCTATTATATTCTTAGTTCACTTTCACTGTTGTGATGAGACTAGACCAGAGAGAGATAAAAAAAAAAATTGGGGCCAGAGAGTTGGTGGGTAAGGCATGGCAGAGCCTGGTTTGATCCTGACAGGCATTGCCTATGGTCACCTGAGCACACTCAATGGTGACTCCTAAGCACAGAGAAAGGAATAAATGAATAAAATGAAAACGTAAGACATCCTAACTCCAACATCCTAACATCCCTCTCTAACTGTACTCTAGGATGGGACTGAGCAGGTTTGGACCTGTTTTCAACTTGACTATAGTTACTGGAGAAGTCTTAAGTGCTACTTTTATGCATTTGAAGATTACCAGAGAGAAGAGGCTGGGCAGCTAACCCTGAGGGTCTAAGCAGCCCCACCACCAAGGGAAGAATGGAGGGGTGGGGGGGCACCTATGGAGGTACAGGAAAACGTTTCCATAAAACAGAAGGAAAGACTTCATTGTTATCTAAGCAAAAAGAGTGGGGTGTGTGGGGGAAGAGAAGGTTGCTCTTTGAAAGATCTAGATGTGTTCAAGGAGCACCTGATACACACTTACTAGAATGCTCTGCAGTGACCTTATCATCTTTATCATGCCTCTGTCTCTTTCCGGTTTCAAAAAATATTTTTAAGTTGAATTCATTTCTATTTTTCAGTTGTTTGCTTGGTGTGGTTTTGGTGGATCACACCTGGCAGCACTCAGGGCATACTCCTGGCTATGCGCTCAGGGGTCAGTCCTGGCAGGGTTCAGAAGATCATACATGGTGGTGCCAGGGATTGAATCTGGGTTGGCCACTTGCATGGCAAGCACCCTGCCCACTATACTATCTCTCTGCGCCATTAATTGTTACATTTGGGCAGGGTGGGGGAGTGAAGAGGTGGAGGGGTGGAGGGGTGAACACTTGGATCTGTGCAGAGGTTACTCCTGCCTCTGCACTAAGGAATCACTCCAGGTGATGCACAGGGGACCATATGGGATGCCGAGGATCGAACTCAGGTGGGTCATATGCAAGGCAAGAACCCTACCTGCTGTATTATTGCTCTGTTTCCAAGAATTCTTTTCTTGTTTTATATTTAGGGGATGAGGAAGACCTTACACAGAGGAAAATTGCAAGACTGATTTCTGGACCATCAAGTGATATTGATAAAATCTTGTGTTTTGATCAAGAAGGAAGATAATACATTAGAATTTCTCTTCTCCCAATAAACAGCCAGCAAATCCAGTGCAGCAAACAATCATCAAAAGTGTAGTTATTATTTTTCATCCCCAATCTCCCAAACACTGTTTTTTTTTTTTTGGAGGATTTTAGCCTTTCATCCCAGTGTTCTATAAACTGGATAAATGGATAAAATAGCTCAGAGAGTCATTGATTTGAAATCTAGTGGAAAGGCAGGGAAGGGGGCTGGAGTGATAGTACAGCCGGTAAGGCATTTGCCTAGTACGTGGCCGAACCCAGTTCGACTCCCAGCATCGCATCCGCCAGGAGTAGTTCTTGAGTACAGAGCCAGGAGTTACCCCTGTGCATCGCCGGGTGTGACCCAAAAAGCAAAAGAAAAGAAAAGAAATGGGAGGAGGGACTATTCACGGCATTGATTGACTTTTTGTTATTGTAGGACTTTGGAACCAAGTGAAGTTTTTTAACTTCCAGGAGAGGGGGGTGATTTACATTTTAAAACAACAGCTCTGTTTTTCACTTTCTCTCAGCCAAGCTCTTTCTAAAAAATCTCCGGTTTGGTGACAGATAAAAATATCTTCGCAGAATCTCCCCAAAGCAGCGCCATCAGCCTTTTCGACTAGCGAGAAGGAGAGTTCCGGTGCCGCCAAGCTAGTCTTCTTCCTGCACCCCCTCGGCTCTCCGGGTGGCTCAGCAGGATCTGAATCTTGCTCCTCTAGTCGGGGTGGGGGTGGCGGGGCGGGGGGGTGGGAGGGACCTTTACTCCCGATCAGGGCGAAGCCTGACCCCTTGAGGAGCGCCGGGGAGGCTAAGCTGATGCGACCCATCCGGAGTCGGGAGAGCTGCGCCCCCTCTCCGCGCGCGGGGAGACCTCTCCAGTGTAGCCGAGAAATCCGTTACCAGGCTGCAGTGTCCCCAAGGGCCATTCCCGGGCGGAAGAGACCGGGAAACCGCTGTGTAGATTATCCAGCGGGCTAGCTGGGCGCGCAGCGGGTCGGGTTACAGACAGGTGAGTCTGGCGGATGGGTGAGCTCCGGCGCCAGGTAAACCCTGGCCAGAGCGCCCCCGCCTGCAGCCCCCTCCCCGCCGCCGTCAGCTGGCACTCGGTTCCCCACCGCTGCAGGGGGGCTCCGGGCTCGCCCGTGACGGCTGCGCTCCGCGTCCAGGGCGCGCGCAAAGCCGGGGCTATGGGAGAGGCAGAACGTTCCCGACTTGGGCACGACCGCTCTGAGAAACTTGGCGTCTTTCTCTTACCGGTTCTCGCTCCTTCTGTCCCTCCCCCATCCCTCCAGGTAGAGAGAGAGAGAGAGTGGGGGGGGGGGCCGAGGGGGGGGGAAGAAGTTCTCCAGTCACCTGCGGCCGTCAGCCCATCTTCATTTTTCTGACTTACTGGAAAGGTATTTCCCAGCCCCAAAATTTCGGGAGCAGGCAGTTTAGGACAGGTAATAGTTGGGAGTGGGTGAGAATTAAGATTTTCCCCCGTCCTTTATCCCCTCTAAGTTGCATTTGCATAACATGCACTTGGCTTTTGTTTCCATTCTGTATTTTACATGGGGGCGCAGGGGTCTTGGGGTGCAAGTTGCTTTGGCAAAACCCCAAAAAACAAACAAAAAACCCAAGTAATTTTGCTTAGCTTGTGGAGCACATCTCAATTTATTTTAAAACAATTGTTCGAAAGCGACTGAACTTAAAATTGCATTGTTCTCGTCTTTATTTGGGGGTTCCATTGTAGGTGATCAGGGGCTCAGGCTCTTAAATTACCACCGCCCCCCTTACCAGATCTGAGTGCGCTGAGCCTTTCACTGTCTATCCCTTCTGCCAGCCAAGATTTTAACCAGCTCCAGGAACGATCCAGAAAGTCCAGAGGAACCGAGCCATTTTCCGGCTTGCTAGTTAGAGACAAATGCATTCGGGGCGGGGGTGTGGGGGGTGCAATTTGCAAGGGAGGCTCCAGCTCTTGCGAGGGATGCCCTGGCAAACGGACCTGGGGTTTACCTCCAAGAGTTGGCCCTGAGGTGCCTGAATTGGGGAATAGGGCGGGGGCTGATTAAAAAACATTCTTCCCTTTTTAAAAAGGGGAGGGGGGAAAGAATCAGACGTTAAATTCTTTTGCAAACATTCATGCCTAAGGAAGGGCTGGAACAGGCAGCCGCGGCCGCCGGAACCGGTCGGACAGGTAGCGAGCTTGTTGACACCGTTATGTTGCAGGGCGCATGCTCACTCCTAAGTTTCCTGGTGCCTTTTCTATTCCACCTTATGAAACTTTTTCCTCGGCGTGGTCTCACCCGCGATTTAAGGCATAGGTGTCGCCCAGCCGGCGAGGCAGGGAGCCGCCGGGCGTGCGGGGGAGAGGCCGGGGCCGCGGCGCGGCAGGGAGCGGGGGAAGGGGGCCGACTCGGCGGGAAGGTGGGTTCTGGCCGCCGGGAGCCGGGGACCGAGCCGCCGCCGCCCCTAGCGGGGACCGCCAAGAGGAAGGGACCGCGGTCCAGGGAGGGGGCCCCAACATGCCCAAAGCGTTCCTGGTGAAGAGGAGGAGCCTGGGGGTCTCGGCTCGCAGCTGGGATGAGCTCCCGGATGAGGAAAGGGCAGACACCTACATCCCAGGTGAGCGCCGCGCGGGGGCCCGGCCTGGGCGCGGGGCTCTGGGTGGGGGCGGGGGCGGCGGGCGCTCGGGGCTGGGCTGCAGGGCTGCCCCCTCCGAGACCCCCGTTCCGGGGGAGGGGGGAGGAGGAGGTCCCCGCGGTGCCGGAGGATCGGGAGTGAGAGGCTGCGAGCCGGGCGACCGGCTCCCCTTCCCCCCTCGAGGTGTCTTTAATTGCCCGGCGGCGGGACCGTTGGCTTCGGCGGCCGGGGTGGCCCAGCCGGGTGAATGGCAGGCCGGCAGAGCCAGCCGGGCCACGTCCTCGTCGGGCTGCACGCGGATCGGGCAAGCCTGGGGGGGCTCCGTGGGTAGAGGTCGCTCTGCGCCCCCCTCCCCCGGCCCGTCCCAGGGAGAGGAAACTTGGGCGCGTGGGGTCCCCGGGGCGCGTGGCCCTCCGTTCCTCGTGGGCGCGGGGACGGAGCGCGAGAAGCGGCCGCAGGACCCTGCGGTCAGCTCGGAAGACCCGAGTGAGGGTTCACACTGCAGTCCCCGCGGCGTTGCCCACTTGGCGGGGTGCCCGGGGCCCGGGCGGGGCGCGGCGGCACAGCCCGCGGGTCAAACTGCTGCTGGCGCGCGGGCCTGACGCCGCGTGCGTGTGTGTGTGCGTGCGTGTGTGTGTGTGCGCGCCTGTGTGTGTGCGTGTGTGTGTGCGCGCGCGTGTGTGTCGGTGTGTGGGGTGCGGCCCCTCCCTCCGCAGTGGTTTTGGGACATCTGCTCCACGACCCCCCCGAAGACTGTCGCAGCGACGGCGGCAGCAGTAGCGGCAGCGGCAGCAGCAGCGCGGGGGAGCCTGGAGGCGCCGAGAGCAGCTCGTCCCCGCGCGCCCCCGAGCTTGGAACCCCCGAGCCCGGCGACGCGGAAGGCACGACCGGACTCCCGGAGACCAGGCAGCGCCCGGTCGCCAGGTCGAAAATCAAGGTACGCTGTCGACTCTGCCCCCGCCGCCACCTGCACCACGCCCTGGCGTCGGGCTCCCGGGTCCGCGCCCCTCCCCGCCGCGCCCGCCCGCGCACCCGCGCCAGCGCCCCGAGCGCGCCCGCCGCCCTGCACCTGCCCCTGGGCCGGGTCCCCCGCGCGTTCCCCGCACCGCTGAGCCCCAGAGACCCGCTCCCCGGATCGGATGGCCCCCGAGGTCAAGCCCCCGCTTGTGAGCGGAGCGGCAGTGGCCTGGCCGTCGGGGTTCCTGGGTGGGAGTGGTGGGACCTGGGCGCCCCGGGAGCCTTTCCTCCCTCCCGGTCGCACGGAAAGTTTCCGGGCCGGCCTGGTCTGCGGTCTGGCGTTCTTGGCCGATGCAAGTCGCACCGGGGGTTTCTCGGGGGTCACATCTAACCGAGACTAATACCGTGTTGTCTCTCCCCGCCCTCCCCCCCCCCCGCCACGAGGTCCGCACTGGGTCCTTTCATTTGTCGGGTCTCTGAAACATTGAGTGGAGGCGCAGAGCCTCAGGTTCCCGCCCGCCGTTGGACGGAGAGTTCGTTCCCCTTTATCTTGGCGCTTCAACCCCCCTCCCCCCCAACTCGGTACTATTCTAGACTCGTCGGCGCATAGGTGCTTTTCTGGCCGGCATCACCCGCTCCGAGGTCTCTCCCGCCCCCTCACCCCCACCCAGAGTAAGGAATCCCACTCAAGTTCCAGCCGCAAGCAGGCTGGATTGGGGGGAGGAGGGTGGGCGGTGCGGGTTAGGTGTCGCGTGACCCCCTCTCGGACCACATTGCGGTGTAGCTATTTACTGGCAATCCAGTAGAGCCCAGCCGAGGGATGGGAGAGCAGGGCTGGGAGAATAGCGGGACCGAGTTCCAGGTCTTCGGAGCCGGGAGGGAAAGCGCAGATGACTTTTCCTGGGCGAGGCCTGCCCCCTCCCCCCCCAGCACATTGCCTCGAGGTAGGCTTGGGCGGTCGGGCTCCAGCCTTGAGCCTGGAGGCTGGGGCTGGTAATCCGCTGGAAAGGGCTCTCGCAGTGCTGCTGTCTTGGTAGGGTTTGCTGTTGAGAGCGTTGGTAAGGTTCAAAGTTGGTTGTCCTGAGCCTCTTTTTGGCCTGATGGGGTTAAGTGGGAGGGGACAGTTTGCCTGAGGCTGATAGTTCTGCCCTCCAGGAAATTCTACAAAGTGGCCCACTTGCATATTTATCACCTTGCTGGTAGGACAATTGCAAGCCTTGTTTTGGGATCTACTGTAGCGGGTTGGCCCCAACCCCCAATGCCCAGATTACCCTGGGGGAAAACTGGTTGAGGAGAAAGTTTTGGTCCCTTGACCAACTTTTTAGAAGATCTGTCGTCCTGCCTCAGGCAAACAGTACCTTTGGAGCCTGGGATTAGGGAATCAGGAAAACCTATCTTATTTCCTGGCCGCCTAGAAACTCTCCCCACCTCCACCCTGGAGTGGGGGTGGAGTCTAGAGTTTGCTCCTGAACCGTTAACAGTTTCCTGAGGAGTTTTTGTTTGTTTACTAAGGACTTCACAGATGCCTTTTCCCTCTCCACTTCCCTCCACAATAGATTTCTTGCTTGGAGCATCCAGAGGTATTGCCTGTGACTCTGGCATATTTTCAGTGGACTGGTCAAGCTGCCAGTTAGATGAGCACATTGTGTAGTTCTAGAGTTCTGTGTAAATAGAACGTGCTGAACTCTTTAAGGATTCGTTTCTTAACCTGAAGGGTAAGGAGACCCACCCAGTGATGTGGCCCTTGCATGATATATTGCTTCACTGTCACTGTCCTCCCATTATTCATCAGTTTGCTCGAGTGGGCCCAGTAACGTCTCCACTGTGACACTAGTTGTTACTGTGTTTGGCATATTGAATACGTCACGGGTAGCTTGCCAGGCTTTGCCGTTTGGGCGAGATACTCTGGTAGCTTGCTGGGCTCTCCGAGAGGGGCAGAGGAATCGAACCCTGCTCGGCCTGGCTGGCTGCGCGCAAGGCAAACGCCCTGCCCGCTGTGCAGGGTGTTTACCTTGCACGTGGCAGACCCTGCTGACCCGAGTTCGATTCCTCCACCCCTCTCGGAGGGCCCGGCAAGCTACTGAAAGCATCTCCCCCACACGGCAAAGCCTGGCAAGCTACCCAAGATGTATCTGATATGTCAGACACAGTAACAAGTGTCACAGTGGAGACGTTACTGGGCCCGCTGGATGTATTGCTTAAACAACTGATTTTCTAGATTGTGACTTTGTTACTTCTTTGTTGCAGGATTTTTGATAAACTACTAACCCCTCAGAACCCCAACTTCTTTGTCTCCACAATGGGGAGAGTAATGATACCTGCCTCATACTACTGAGAGAATGAATACAGATTGGGACATAGGGGCCTAAGAGATTGTGCAGAGATTAAGCCTCTTGCATATGGTTACGCATGTACACTATTTTGAAACTATCTCCACTACCAGGCATGCCCCCCCCCCTCGAAAAAAGATTGGGATGTAGTACTTGATTTGATCCCCGGCACCATACCACATAGTCCCCCCAAGCACTGCTGGAAATGACACCCCAAAGACTGCCAGGTCTGTATCCCCTGCTCCAAGAAAAAGTGAGACGTAGTGGGTGGCACCATAACTCTAGCCTGAATGATTTGAGTTGGTGGGAAGACACAAATAGTAATTAACTGTATTACAGGAAACTTAGTGCCAAGCCAGCAAAGATGTGATAAATTCTAAGTGGGAAAGGTTTTCTTGGTCTGGGATTTGAGAGTTGTGAAGAAGGGAGAGAGGCAGGATTATATTGTTGTTGTTGGGAGGTTTTAGCCATGCCTGGTGGTGGTATTCAGGGCTCACTCCTGCTTCTGATTAAGGATCACTCCTGGTGAGGCTTAGGCGACCATTTGCAGTGCTGGGAATCGAACCTGGGTCAACTACATGCAGGCAAGTGCCTTAACCCTGTGCTATCTTTCTAGTTCCAGGAGTTAGTCTGGGACAGGATGAGCCTAAAGCTTGAATTAAAAGAGAAACTGATTATTATGGTCATACTGGAGTGTTGAAAGTAGATAAAGGGATACACACATAATAAACTTTCAGTATCTGTATTGTGAACCAAATGCCCCAAAGAAAAGTGGGGCAAGGGGAGGGAAACTGGGAAATGTACCCTGGTGAAGAAATGGGTGTTAGAACATTATATGACTGACACCCAATCATGAACACATTTGTAATTGTATCTTATTATGATTCAATTAAAAAATTTTTAATAAAAGGAATTAAAATTGGGGAGGGAGGGAAAGAGAAAAGAAAAACTGTGGTGACTGGAAGACGGTGGCTAGCTGGAACCAGGGAGAGTGGGAGGTGAGGAACCAGAAAGGAAGGGTCAGCTCTAGAAGGGGTGGGTGTTCCTAGGGTCAGCTCTAGAAGGGGTGGGTGTTCCTGGGGACAGAGGACTTGCTCTGGGAAGTTTTTGAGAAAGAAACCTTGAGTTAGGTCCATCTTACCAGTTTGTGAGTTGTTAACCTATTCCAAGCCTTTGTTCCCTGATCTGTAAAATATAGAAATAATAGCGACTTATTACTTATTACTCTGAGAGTGTCATGTAAGGGCTGGAGAGGTACTTGCTTGCCTTCAATCTCTGTCATTCCGTATGGTCCAAGCACCTCCAGGAGTAACTCCTGAGAGCAGAACCAGGAGAAGCCCTGACTATTGCTGTGTGCCACCCTCACCTCCTCACCACCAGAGAGAGAGAGAGAGAGAGAGAGAGAGAGAGAGTATTAAGAAGTATTGTGTAGCCTAACTGAGATCATGGCTGCAAAATGTTCGGTCCCTTTTTGCTTCTGTATGAACGGCCCACTGGGGAGTTGGCGGACAGTGACCCACAGCATCCAGCCCTCAGGGCTGTGTTGCTTTTGGTTGGGACAGAGGCTTTACCAACCGACTTGATCTGGAAAGGACTGTAGACTCTGATTGGGAAATGCGACCTATCCCAGCCTATCTGTCTTTGACTTGTGCGTGGAGCAGGTTATGAAATTGTCTATGAGTGAGGATTCTGTAACTTACAAAACTGATGTGATGGAGAGATGATGTGCCCAGGGAAATCTGTCTGCCAGGTGAGGTCCCTGCCAGGTCCCTTTAAATCCCTTTGTGCTGGACTTAGTGATCTCTAACTGTGTGGGCAGAGACCAGCAGGAATCCTGGCTATGGGTGTCCTTCAAAGACTTGTCAGATATAAGAAGTAACTGAGTTGAATCTGTGAGTGGACTGAAGCTGCCCATTCTTTTTGGGTTTTGTTTGTTTGTTCATTGGTTGGTCATATCTGGTGTGTGGCCCCAGAGTTACTCCTGGCTCTGTGCTCAAAAATCAATCTTGGTGAGGATCCAGGGGACCATCCCAGGCTGGTCACATGCCAGACAAACGCCCTCCCTACTGTACTGTCACTGAGGCCCTGAAATTGCCCATCCTGACCTGATGCTAGGATAGTTTAGCAAATGTATTTCTTGCCTCACCTCATACCAATCTGTTCTCCCTTCCTTTAACCTTCCCCAAAGATTATTCTAAAGGAATTCGTGTACAATTCTTTCAGTCACATTCTTGGTCTTCTCTTTGTTTTGTTTTTTGTTTGGGGGCTGAGGGTTCCTTCATGCTGGCGGGAGGTGGGGGTGAGGGCTTCCCATGGGCACAATACCCTGAACTATCTCTCTGACCATATTTATGGTCTCTCACCTACCTCTATAGTTTGTCTTCTTCTAGTGACAGATGTGGAATGTGGTACGTACTCCTTTTGACTTTTTTTTTAAATGACAGTGATTTTCAAAAATAGAGTATCTCTGCCCAGTGCCAACATCCATTAAGTTCTAGCCAGACCTGCCCGCTATTCCCTGACACATCATGGTTTTAATGCCCATCTCATATCATGCTCTTTGAACCATAAGTGTCTTAGAAAGTGACCATGATAAATACCAAAGTACACAATCACACCCACATTAAAGATGGGATTCTTGTTGCTGTTT